TCATGCAGCATGTGCGTAGCCACCTAGCTGCCATGTGACACCCTTCACTCTTGTCTCTTGCGAGAGCAAGTGCTCGGGGGACGGACGGGCGGGCAGCAGCCCAGAGGTAACATATTACTTATAGAAAATTCCGAATAGGAAAATTCTACAAATTACATTAAGTAATACGTTACCACTGTTATACCGAGGCTGACTACAACAGTAGGCGGTGGGGAGCACCTACAACCCGAATCCTGACTGCTAGCGTTCCTTCAGACCAGCGGAAACAAATACCAAGGCGGAAGCACCTAGCTAGGCGTTACCCTATAGGAATACCAAAGCACTGTCAAGCGCATACCATAAGGCTCAATCGTCATTGCCAAAACGATTGGTGACTCCAAACGGCCCCACTGGATAGGTATTTCATTGCCGCTGCGGATGAGAACACAGTATCCGTGTGAGCTAAATCTTAGATCAGGTTAAACAGTCGAAAAGAGGGAAATTAATTTCATTCAGACCGTATATCCCAGAGCAAGCCTACTTAAAGTATGTAATAGGCGCGTGACCTAATTTCAGTATTTGTAAGCATGTATCACAAGGTTGGAATACACGACAGACAATTGAATGCATAATTGTCAAAATACAAATATGGACAAAACACACAAAAAGCCGCCTCACCTGTGGTGTGAGTGCGCTGGTTTGCAGGACCCCCACTCCTGTACCCACGGCGTGGGAACATTGGAGACGACCCAGATTGACCACCGTGCAAGGACTGACGACTGCGGAGTTTGGAATTGCGCTGGACACACCCCCTAGATGACCGCTTGTGCCGCGATCAGCGGCCCAAGACGGTGCACCCCCTCCACGTCTTCATCAGAAACCTTTCTGAGGTAATGATTGGCAGAACGCCAGTAACAACCTCGTAATATTCTGTGAACAGAGATATTTGAGTGTATGGCAAATGTTGCCGCTAGCGCCCTGATCTCGTGCGGGTTTGACCCTGCTACCGGTAACCCCCGAGAATGGTACGCCAGATTGATGACAGAACGAAGCCACAACGCCGCAATCGAGTTGCGAGTTATGTCAACCGTGCGATTAGGGTTACACGATATGAACTGACGGTCACGCCCTTGTCTACGTTCATTCGAAGCCTTAAGATAATACTTAAGGGCCCTAACCGGACACAACGCTCTGTCCTCAGTATCAGCAGGATGTAAGATTTCTTTGAGTGATCTTACAGTGAATTCTCTCTCCATTTGCCCGATTCTCTGATTCTTGGCGACGAAGCCCATGAGCAGGCCCAGGCGGACCGCTCCTTCGTCATCCCTATCGAATCGTACCTTGGCAACATCGAGTGCATGAATTTCGGATACACGTGCCGCCGTGGCAAAGGAGAGGAGAAATGCTGTTTTCCAAGTCACATGCCGGAACGAAGCACTATGCAAGGGTTCATACGGAGCTTCCGTAAGTGATTGCAACACTAGGGAAAGATCCCAGGCCGGTACCCGAAGGCGGCCCTTCTTAAGATCGTGCTGTTTGAAACCCTTGATAATACCCCGTATCACCGGCTCTTTGGAGAGACTGGTACCCATAGCAACGTCCCGTACCGTAGCAACGGACGAGACATAGTTGGCAATGGAACCCCCGGAGAGTTTCCGGGTCTCTCGCAAGTGAGACATGAGATGAGCAATATCCTGCACAGATACCTTATCTGGCGAATGAATGTGATGTTTACAACACTTTGTGAAAATAACCCAACATGCATTATACACCTTCTGGGTAGAATCACGATGCATATTAACGTATGCCCGAGTCGCCCGACGAGAAAAACCTTTACTCCTCAGACGCTCGGTGACAACATCCACTGCCCTGCATTTGGATGAAGCTGATGGGCGTAAGGGTGGATCAAGAGATCCGGTCTCACAGGCAGTGGAAGTGGCGACTGCGTGACCTGGGTCAGCAAGTCGGGGTACCACGATCTGTTCGGCGTTGATCACTGCCTTGAACTCGAGACAATTGATGTGAAGACCTAGTTCGTCTACGCACCACAGCCCCGAGCTCACCTCCCCCTCTAGATGGGCGCCCAAGCCCACTAGAGAGGCGTCTGTATACAGGTTCAACGTGGCCCTGTAGGGCCGCATAGAGACTCCTGATAAGACATTGTAAGGGACCGTCCACCACTCCAGATGCAGTCGGAGCCGATCCGGGAGGGCGACAGTCGCACTGTTCACCTCCTGTGCTAACAACTGGATTAAAAACCGTTGCAGCGGGCGGAGTTGGAGATGACCCCGTTCGGTGCAGTCCTGGGCTGACACAAGTAACCCTAACAGCTGTTCCCAAAAGTGAACAGTCTGTTGCACCGCTAAGACTTTGGCAATCATCGCCTGAATCTTGTGCCTTCGGTCTGGGGGGACAAAGAGGCGATGGGTCACCGTGTTGAACCGACCTCCGATGAACTGCAAGTTCTGAGAGGGGGTTAACTCGCTCTTGGGGAGATTGACAATCCACCCCAATTGCTCCAAGAGCCGATGTGCGAAATCGAGCTGCCGAGACAGCGTGTCTGTCATTCGATTTGCTACTAGCGAGTCGTCCAGGTACGCGAAGTACAGGACACCCCTCCGGTGGAGGAACCCCACTATGCGGGTGGTTAACCGGGTGAACAGCCAGGGAGCAGATGAAAGACCGAATGGCCCGAAAGACCAACTCGTAGTGCCTGCCTTGAAAGACAAACCTGAGATACATGTGATGATCCGAGTGAATCGGAACATGCAGATAAGCATCCTTCAGGTCGATCGAAGCGAGCCAGTCAGCCGGCATGATCAGAGCTTTCAGGTCAGCCAAGCTCAACATTCTGAACTTGGGCGGCTTGTGCAGGTAGAACTCGTTGAATGATTTCAAGTTGTGAATCATTCTGAGTTTGGCACTGTCCTTCTTGGGAACGAGAAATATCCTGGAGTAAAACCCATGTGTTATTTCTGGTAGAGCTAACTCCCGAACTGCCCTCTTCTCCACCAACCTGCCAATGGCATCGGCGAGGATGGGAAGATCGGTTTCCGAATAGAAACCTGCCGACGGGGCAACGGTGAGCGGCGGATTCGTTTGAGATCGAGCCGATATACCCGTACCGAATCATGTTGACCACCCACGGGTCGTCAAACACTTGTTCCCAATTCTCCCAGTAAGTCTGGAGTCTGGCTCCCACTGGGGAAGGAGAGTGGGGCCGGACAGGCTGCGGCAGGCGCAACTGTCCAGGGCCAAGTGACTCGGGTTCGCCTACGGGCCAACCGAGGTTGACGCTTTCGGCATACGAACCCCTCCAATGAGAGTCACCTGGAGGGGCCCTTGCCGTCCTTAGACGACGTGGGCTTCCCCCAGTTCCCTGCTGATGGCCCTTACTGGAGCCCTCAGGGCGGGGCTTCTTCCCGGGGAAAGAAGAACCCGACCCCTTAGGCCTGCCGGCCACAGCATCCTGGGGCGCGCTCTGCTTAGGAGCGGCACCCAGGCGCCTATGCAAGGACCCCACAAGATCCAGTGTGTGCTGAGAGGCCTCAGCAGACACAGCGGCCTGTTGTTCTTTCAGAACCCCAGGGATCTTGTTATTAAACAGGGTCCGAGCAGACCAAGGCTGCGAAAGGGGCACCTCCTGATTAGCAGCGTCCAACCCTGAGGCAACCAGATGCGACTGGCACCGGAGAAAATGGCACGTGCCGGAAATAAAGGCCGAAGCCCCGGCAACGTACTCCAGGGAAGCATTTAAACCGAGCAAGCAGTTATAAATGCGCTGGTCTCGGTCCATGGGAGAACGTTCGACCAGACTGGCCGCTGCAGCCAGGTATGTGTCTCCTTGAGACATTGCCAGCATGGAGTGTCGAGTGAGGGTGTCCAGCTGCTGCAAGGTACCTTGTGGTACCGTGGCAGCCGGTGGGGCACGGACACCCAAACGCTCAACATGGGCTTCCGCGGTAGGACCAGCCTCGGGAAGGGCAAAGGCTTCCACAAAAATGAAAGTCAGACTGGTAGTCTAGATCACGTAATTTGAGTACCCTCACTAAGAAAGTGTTATCCCAAATATAACATTTGTTACATTTGACCACTTTCTAAATGGCATTGTGTATTCATAGCTTTCGGCCATGGGAGCCGTGCCAATTTCCACTTGTCAGGGGGGTACTCAAAGTATGTGATCTAGACTACCAGTTGTCTGACTTTCATTTTTGTGGAAGCCTCTGTGGCTGAGTGGGTTAGATCGCTGACTTTGTGTGCTGGCGATTAGGCGCCTCACCCTGGCAGGTGTGGGTTCGATCCCGGACGGTACTCAACCCCAAAAAAGTACTAGAATCTGTACTTTACTAAGAAAGTGTTATCCCAAATATAACATTTGTTACATTTGACCACTTTCTAAATGGCATTGTGTATTAATAGTTATGTAGGGAGGCCCTTTCCCAGATTGATTGTACAGAACTGAATATTTGGTTACATACCAGTTTGAACCCCCACCCCCCGCCCCCATAAGGCCGCCCGCCTGCACTATATTTTCAAAATCCATTGACTGAGAACCAATTCTTTTACTTTTTTAAGGCTTAGCATAAGTAAGCATAGGTACAACAATGCATAAGAAGTACAAAGCAGTACAAAGAATAAAAACCTGCATGACATGAAAAAAACGTGGCTAATTGAAACAACAAAACGCCCGATACTTACCATGGCAAAAAGCCATCATCAAGTGTTAAATATTAATGCATTAATTTGCATTTGAGAACTCTAACATGACTTTTCAGTCTGCCTGACAGCAGTCATGTGATTGTCCATGTGTTTATGGGATTAGCCTCACATCTAGTTGGAACAACTTCTTCTTCAGCTGGGCCTCACACCACGTCTTCTTTCTGTTAGAACAAGCAGTAAATGCAATAAGGAGTAGAAAAAATAAAAAATTATGAATCAGTGATGCAAAAGACAGTACCCAGGTACTTTGCTGGCTGCACCAACAAAGTTCTGCAAGAGTAAGCCTCAACCATTTGGTATACCTTTTTTTCGTTCTTGTGCTTCTTGCTATCCCTGTCTTTATGTTTCTGCCTGTGTTGGTGATGAGCTGCGTGTGTCAGGTCGGCCTGAGAGCAAGATGATGCAGTGGCTGATACAGCATTCCCACTACCTGTAACAGCAAGATCAGTCTTGTCTTCAGTTACATATATTTAATAGGTACTTAGGCAAAACTATTGATTTTAGAGTTTGCAGATTACTGCTTCTATTTGTTTGGGTTGGTCAAAATCTGAAATAAATTTGTGCTGCTCAAAATGTCATCTTATTTTGCAGGGTGTTATATGCTCTTTTTATTAGCAGTTTGCAGTGGCCAGAAACTACATACATCGTGTACATTGTATTTGATCAATTGCTTTTGAAAAAGTTGACAGTGTGGATTTAGGTTCTGGTTGATCGAATCTGTGAACTGAAATTTGTACTTTGCCTTTATTTGCTACTTTATCTAGTTTAATCATGTGAAACAAAAGTCCTTGTGTGGAGCCTGGTTAGAATAGGTCCCCCAGCTCTCTACTGCTTGTATGGGGTGTCTCAGTAGGATCTGGTGGTCAGACTGGATTAGTCATGATGTCAACCACACATTTGTAAGGATGAGACTTTATAATCTACAGATTGACATGGTATAGCTGGAATACCATTGACAATGAACAATAAACAAACAAATATGATCCTTGCCTATGCTCAAACATCATAACAGCATATATGAACAAGTCGCGTCCAACTAAGATAATATAAAGTAATTATTATGGAGTCCCAACTAAATTGAAGGTTGTATTCATGATCTGCAGCTCACAAATATAAATCATGTTACAAATCTAACAGAAAATATATTTACTCTAAATAATTGGTTCTGAATACTATTACAATGATACTACTAGGGAGACAACTCACCTGGAGGTAGAGCAGGCAGGCATGTATACATGAATGCCATCTCGGTGAATGAGTGAGTGAGTTTGCTTAATTAACACAACTTTGAACTGAATTGCAGTTACATCACAACAGCTTGATATGGGAGCAATTAAAGTCTGAGGTGATGCTTACCACTTCAGACAACCAATGAGCGACATCAGGGTGTCAAACTACACATTAAGGGAGACAACTTACCTTGAGGAGGAGGTAGAGCAGGTCCGTATGCCATCTCATCCTCTGACTGTGGTGTGTCAGACATCAGTGGTGAAAGACGCTGTGGAACTGTCTCTATGGCAACTGGAGCTCCAGGGAGGTAGTGTCGAGTATGACTATTTGTATCCTGTGTAACTATATTTGAAAAATCATGACATGTAATGCAAGAATTTCGAAAACAAAAGATACACTTTTCTTGGATTGAGGTTTTATTCTATAAAGGGCAATTCTTTTTTGTTTGCCAGTTTCTGTTGAATGACAGATCACAGATTTACAACCCTTCCAATGTCTTACAGACATTAAATTACACATTAAATTGTAGAATTTTCCTATCCGGAATATTCTATAAGTAATACGTTACCACTGTTATACCGAGGCTGTTGTCTCCCACAACTGCTGCTATAGCGAAATCTACCACAGAGATCTCAATTACCTCATGCAGCACGTGCGTAGCCACCTAGCTGCCATGTGACACCCTTCACTCTTGTCTCCTGCGAGAGCAAGTGCTCGGGGGACGGACGGGCGGGCAGCAGCCCAGTGGTAACGTATTACTTATAGAATATTCCGAATAGGAAAATTCTACAAATTACATTAAGTAATACGTTACCACTGTTATACCGAGGCTGACTACCACAGTAGGCGGTGGGGAGCACCTACAACCCGAATCCTGACTGCTAGCGTTCCTTCCGACCAGCGGAAGTAAACACCAAGGCGGAAGCACTCGATGCGCATGCACCTAGCTAGGCGTTACCCTATAGGAATACCAAAGCACTGTCAAGCGCATACCGTAAGGCTCAATCGTCAATGCCAAAACGATTGGTGACTCCAAACGGCCCCACTGGATAGGTATTTCATCGCCGCAGCGGATGAGAACACTGTATCCGCGTGAGCTAAATCTTAGATCAGGTTAAACAGTCGAAAAGAGGGAAATTAATTTCCTTCAGACCGTATATCCCAGAGCAAGCCTACTTAAAGTATGCATTAGGCGCGTGACCTAATTCCAGTATTTGTAAGCATGTATCGCAAGGTTGGAATACACGACAGACAATTAAATGCATAATTGTCAAAATACAAATAAGGACAAAACACACAAAAAGCCGCCTCACCTGTGGTGTGAGTGCGCTGGTTTGCAGGACCCCCACTCCTGTACCCACGGCGTGGGAACATTGGAGACGACCCAGATTGACCACCGTGCAAGGACTGACGACTGCGGAGTTTGGAATTGCGCTGGACACACCCCCTAGATGACCGCTTGTGCCGCGATCAACGGCCCAAGACGGTGCACCCCCTCCACGTCTTCATCAGAAACCTTTCTGAGGTAATGATTGGCAAAAACCGAGTCAGAACGCCAGTAACAACCTCGTAAAATTCTGTGAACAGAGATATTCGAGTGTAGGGCAAATGTTGCCGCTAGCGCCCTGATCTCGTGCGGGTTTGACCCCGCTACCGGTAACCCCCGAGACCGGTACGCAAGATTGATGACAGAACGAAGCCACAACGCAATCGAGTTGCGAGTTATGTCAACCGTGCGATTAGGGTTACACGATATGAACAGACGGTCACGCCCTTGTCTACGTTCATTCGAAGCCTTAAGATAAAACTTAAGGGCCCTAACCGGACACAGCGCTCTGTCCTCAGTATCAGCAGGATGTAAGATTTCTTTGAGGGATCTTACAGTGAATTCTCTCTCCGTTTGCCCGACTCTCTGATTCTTGGCGACGAAGCCCATGAGCAGGCCCAGGCGGACCGCTCCTTCGTCACCCCTATCGAATCGTACCTTGGCGACATCGAGTGCATGAATTTCGGATACACGTGCCGCCGTGGCAAAGGAGAGGAGAAATGCTGTTTTCCAAGTCACATGCCGGAACGAAGCACTATGCAAGGGTTCATACGGAGCTTCCGTAAGTGATTGCAACACTAGGGAAAGATCCCAGGCCGGAGCCCGAAGGCGGCCCTTCTTAAGATCGTGCTGTTTGAAACCCTTGATAATACCCCGTATCACCGGCTCTTTGGAGAGACTGGTACCCATAGCAACGTCCCGTACCGTAGCAACGGACGAGACATAGTTGGCAATGGAACCCCCGGAGAGTTTCCGGGTCTCTCGCAAGTGAGACATGAGATGAGCAATATCCTGCACAGATACCTTATCTGGCGAATGAATGTGATGTTTACAACACCACTTCGTGAAAATAACCCAACGTGCATTATACACCTTCTGGGTAGAATCACGATGCATATTAACGTATGCCCAAGACGCCCGGCGAGAAAAACCTTTACTCCTCAGACGCTCGGTGACAACATCCACGCGTGCAGATTGAACTGCCCTGCGTTTGGATGAAGCTGACGGGTGTGAGGGTGGATCAAGAGATCCGAGTGGCGACTGCGTGACCTGGGTCAGCAAGTCGGGGTACCACGATCTGTTCGGCCACATGGGCGCGATCAGTAACATTCGACAGCGAACTCCTCGAAGCCGGCTTAGAATGTGTGGTATCAACGCTGTCGGCGGGTAAGCATAAGCGTCCAAGCCCGTCCAGTCTAACGCGAGAGCATCGTGATCGATGGCCCTCGGGTCCGGGACTGGTGATACAAACAACGGGAGTTGATTGTTGAACCGTGTTGCGAACAGGTCGACCATCGGACGACCCAAACGTTCGCACAGCCACTGAAACACTACTGGGTTCAGCATCCACTCTGTGGGGCTCGGATCCTGAGGCCTCGATAGAGCATCGGCCAGTACGTTCCGCACACCTGGGATGTGACGGGCGCGTATCTGGCACGGGACACTGTCCACCAGAGCGTAAAACTCGAACGTGAGATCGAGTAGCGAGTGACTGTGGGTTCCCCCCAGTTTGTTCACATAGGACACTACCGTCGTGTTGTCGGTCGCCAGCATGAGCCGGGCGTCGACGAGATGATGCTTCCAGTGATTGATTGCGTTGATCACTGCCTTGAACTCGAGACAATTGATGTGAAGACCTAGTTCGTCTACGCACCACAGCCCCGAGCTCACCTCCCCCTCTAGATGATGCCCCAGCCCACTAGAGAGACGTCTGTATACAGGTTCAACGTGGCCCGGTAGGGCCGCATAGAGACTCCTGATAAGACATTATAAGGGAGCGTCCACCACTCCAGATGCGGTCGGAGCCGATCCGGGAGGGCGACGGTCGCACTGTTCACCTCCGTTGCTAACAACTGGATTAAAAACCGTTGCAGCGGGCGGAGTTGGAGACGACCCCGTTCGGTGCAGTCCTGGGCTGATACAAGTAACCCTAACAGCAGTTCCCAAAAGTGAACAGTCTGTTGCACCGCTAAGACTTTGGCAATCATCGCCTGAATTTTGTGCCACCGGTCTGGGGGGACAAATAGGCGATGGGACACCGTGTTGAACCGACCTCCGATGAACTGCAAGTTCTGAGAAGGGGTTAACTCGCTCTTGGGGAGATTGACAATCCACCCCAATTGCTCCAAGAGCCGACGTGCGAAAACGAGATGGCGTGACAGGGTGTCCGACATTCGATTTGCTACTAGCGAGTCGTCCAGGTACGCGAAGTACCGGACACCCCTCCGGTGGAGGAACCCCACTATGGGGGTGGTTAACCGGGTGAACAGCCAGGGAGCGGATGAAAGACCGAATGGGAGTACAACCCACTCGAAGTGCCTGCCTTGAAAGACAAACCTGAGATACTTGTGATGATCCGAGTGAATCGGAACATGCAGATAAGCATCCTTCAGGTCGATCGAAGCTAGCCAGTCGGCCGGCATGATCAGTGCTTTCAGGTCCGTCAAGCTCAACATTCTGAACTTGGGCGGTTTGCGCAGGTAGAACTCGTTGAACGATTTCAAGTTGTGGCGACTGTCCTTCTTGGGAACGAGAAATATCCTGGAGTAAAACCCCGGTGTTATTTCTGGTAGAGCTAACTCACGAACTGCCCCCTTCTCCACCAACCTGCCGATGGCATCGGCGAGGAAGGGAAGATCGGTTTCCGAATAGAAACCTGCCGACGGGGCAACGGTGAGCGGCGGATTCGCTTTGAGATCGAGCCGATAGCCGTACCGAATCGTGTTGACCACCCACGGGTTGTCGAACACTTGTTCCCAATTCTCCCAGTAAGTCTGGAGTCTGGCTCCCACTGGGGAAAGAGAGGGGGGCCGGACAGGCTGCGGCAGGCGCAACTGTCCAGGGCCAAGTGACTCGGGTTCGCCTACGTACCAACCGAAGTTGGCGCTGTCGGCACACGAACCCCTCTAATGAGAGTCACCTGGAGGGGCCCTTGCCGTCCTTAGACGACTTGGGCTATCTCCAGTTCCCCTTCTTCCCGTGAAAGGGCTGCTGAGAACCCTTACCGGAGCCCTCAGAGCGGGGCTTTTTCCCGGAGGAAGAAGGACCCGACCCCTTAGGCCTGCCGGACGCAGCATCCTGGGGCGCGCTCCGCTTCGGAGCGGCACCCTGGCGCCTATGCAAGGACCCCACAAGATCTAGTGTGTGCTGAGAGGCCTCGGCAGACACAGCGGCCTGTTGTTCCTTCAGAACCCCAGGGATCTTGTTATTAAACAGGGTCCGAGCAGACCAAGGCTGCGAAAGGAGCACCTCCTGATTGGCAGCGTCCAACCCTGAGGCAACCAGATACGACTGGCGCCGAAGAAAATGGCACGTGCCGGAAACAAAGGCCGAAGCCCCGGCAACGTACTCCAGGGAAGCATTCAAACCGAGCAAGCAGTTGTAAATGCGCTGGTCTCGGTCCGTGGGAGAACCTTCGACCAGACTGGCCGCTGCAGCTAGGTATGTGTCTCCGTGAGACATTGCCAGCATGGAGTGTCGAGCGAGGGTGTCCAGCTGTTGCAGGGTACCTTGAGGTACCGTGGCAACCGGTGGGGCACAGACCCCCAAACGCTCCACATGGGCTTCCGCAGAAGGACCAGCCTCGGGAAAGGCAAGGTCATGTACTGGGAAAGACCCTTTTCTCCACGACGGGGGAGGTAACGGGAGACCCCGACCGGAGGCAGCCGTGAAGGCCTTCTCCAAAGAAGGCTTAATCCCGCGCAGCAAGGTTGATGCCGGGAAAGCCTTGTCGGACGCCTCGTCGTATACCTCGGAGGAACCCACGGAACCGTGGATTCCCCGCGGTATCGGCAGGGGCTTTGGCATGTCCTCGAAGAGGTCATACACCATGGCCACGCGGTCCTTAACCGATAGCGGAAGCAACGGTTCGGGGGAAGGACCGGTAACCACGGCAGCCGCCGCCGTACCGGTGGACCCCGCGTCCGAACCCGCGGCCACCGAAGAGGCCGGGGACGGAACAGCCAGCGGCCTATCTTGCGATAAGGCCGCCAGCTTGGAGTCCACAAGTTTCGACAATAATGCGGCGACGGAATCCCCAGACAGCCCGAGGGCCGCAAGGGGATCCGCCGCAGCCAAGGAGGTGGTACCCGCACGGGGACCCCGACCGGACGAACCGGCCACCACAGGGGTGGAGACGGACTGTACGTACAGCCGGTACCGCTCAAACTCCGCAGGCCCCAGACCTTCGCACAGGATGCACCGGGTGTCCCCGCAAGGAACCCTGCACCGCGGGCAACGATCGTGGGGATCCCGGGAAGACAAAAACTTTCTGCACACCCCACAACTCCGAGGAGCAGGGGTAGAGGGGGTGGATACTGGGGACATATCTATGTCAGACATTGATTGTTTGCTATAAACAAAGAACAAAACATGGTTACAACGCACGCACCACAATGATTCACAAAGAGCATTTTCACAAGAAAATAAACGAGCAATGTGAACATATAACATACACATATAACTTTTATTAAAGAAATAAGTTATGTTAACCCCCAAAACATACAAGAACAGGGGAAACGTAAAACACAACGTGCATACGCGAACCCCGCAAGTATATAGAAAAAAGGGCAGGAAAAATTTTCCGTTTGGCGGGAAAATTATAACCAAGCGTAGCTACCGCAACGCCCCATAAAAGCACAGTTTATTAGAGAATAAACTATAATAAATATCACCAAATCTTCAAGGAACGCTTCAGCAGGAGAAAACACGTCTTGCTAAGCAGACGAAGGAGACAAGAGTGAAGGGTGTCACATGGCAGCTAGGTGGCTACGCACGTGCTGCATGAGGTAATTGAGATCTCTGTGGTAGATTTCGCTATAGCAGCAGTTGTGGGAGACAACAGCCTCGGTATAACAGTGGTAACGTATTACTTTATGTAATTAAACAATCTACAAAGCAACAATAGATCATTAAGGTCAAAACATAATGGTAATTGAAAACATGTAGATATATTGCCATTGTACTGTTACTCTTTAAATGTGAGCGGTTTGTTATAAGAAGTGAAATCTTTAGCAACAAAATAACAATCATTTCCGGTTAAACAACATAACTTCATGCATGTTAAACCCAGCACAACTTTGAAACCTAAGTCCTATGCCCCTAGCTACCTAATAAGAATGTCAGATAACCTGAACCTTACCCCTTATGTTTGGGATAAATGCATGCCATATTCAGTGCCTCTTCAAAACTGCCCTACATGCAAAAGATTTAAAAATTATCTGCCAAAAAAAGCATTTATGTGAAAACGGCAAACATTCTTTACAAATGGCCTTCACTGTGACCTTGACCTTACATTTTCACTCCTAACCTTACATTTTCACTGAGCTTTTCAAATCTGGGCTCCACCCCTAAGGAAGGCATGAATCTAGTTTTATTGACCTGAAGTCAATAAGTGAGGCAAGTTTTTTTCAGGTTCTGACCTATAGGATGACCTTGACCATTAAGACATATCATGTTTTCACAAAATGAAATTGCATATGCTACTCATTGAAATAAGGACCTATTTCTGATGTCATGAAATGACTGTCATCAATTTACATACATAAGTACTTAAGCAATATAACCACCACAAGCATAAGATCTTAGAAATAGAGCGCTATGGCCCTGTAACTCATCCAAATAAGACTAATGTTTTGAATGCCATAGTATTTTTCAAATTGTTTCACGAAAGAACTGTCAATTTCAGTGGAAACTGGACTTTTGCATAGGGAGGAGGATGTTTACAGTGTGAGAATATGAGGTCCAAAGTGTAAAGGTCCAAATTAATATAATCACCATAAACATATCTGTTGAGCCTCACTACAAACTACATATAGACCAATTATCATTACACTTTGAAAGAAAATAGCTCAGTAACGGCCATAATTAGGGTTTTTCATACGGCTGCAAGGGAAGCCATTTTGAAAATCAGTTTCTAATGTCATGAACAAATTGGACCCATGAAGATCCGGGGTTGAATAGGTCATCAGCAACCCAATTTGCCGTAAAAGGCGACTATGCTTGTCGTAAGAGGCAACTAACAGGATCGGGTGGTCAGACTCGCTGACTTGGTTGATGCATGTCATCGTATCCCAATTGTGTGGATCGATACTCATGATGTCAATCACTGCATTGTCTGGTCCAGACTTGATTATTTACAGACTGCCGTCATATAGCTGGAATATTGCTGAGTCCAGCGTAAAACTAACAAACATCAAAACATCTTGAACGAATTGGGGCATCATCATTGGTAGGAACAAACATGCAAAATTTCAGCTTCACTGGTCTCGTGGTTTCTGAGAAGATGCTTGCAGTCATATTGGAACAAACTTGGAACTACATATGGCGACCATCTCACCCACATAGTCTCTTGCTTCAGTTTTGATGCCTTTCAGGCCATATGAGCTAAAAAATCTGCTCAAAAAGGCATTTCAGTGAAAACTACTCTTAGAATGACCTTGACCATATACGTAGGTCACTCACAACCTTTTCAAATCACAGTCCCACCTCAAGGTTATGTACCAAGTTCCATTGACAAACAGTAAAACCTACTTGAGCAATCATTTACACAACTTTTCTTCAAGCTATGACAATGAGGATGAAATTTACGCATGACATGAGTGGTCAATGTGTCCAAAGAAATTCTCAGAGCTATAAAGGAGACAGACATGATATGATAACCCTGGAATGTCCAAGCACCACATCGTTTCAAATACAATGTGTGGTGGTAGTCAAATTCAGAAATAGTTTTAAAGCTTCCACATCAATAAATATAATTCAGGATTGCCTACAAACAAAATTCATTTTATATAAAGTTTATATAATTTGCCAATTAAACGAATTTGTTCACAAAATCATCGGGAACAGAAATTGCCCAGCTGACCCATGAACTGTATAAACTGATACAGTAAGAAGCTCCTCCACCACACAAAGCTTTCAACAAACCTGGTAATTTGCCATCTCCAATATCCATTTCTGCATTCCCTTCACTTAATGACACCTCCATGGCAACTGGTTCGGGTTGGGTTTCACTCTGATCCTGTTCTGACTCAGAAGAGCTGTCCTCTGAATCTGAGTTTTTGAAAACAGCTTTGAAGAGATCCATGGATGGTACATCACTATGTCCTTTGGAAATGTTTGTCTGTTGATGAAATATGAGTGAAGATGCTTTGTGCCACATGAAGAACACCAGTCAGTAAAACAGTGAAAAATGTCAACAACACTGATACAATTAGGAGATAAACATACTGTGTTTTCAATGTATAGCCAGGTTACCTGTAGATGTAACTGCGCCACATTAAATTTGGAACCGCACCTGCAGTGTGTGGTTTCAAATGTTATATTTAGCGTTGTTAGATTTACAGGTAACCTAGCTCTACATTGAAAACACAGTATGTTTATTTCCATTCTGCCATGACTAAATAAAGCGAACTCTTTGGTGTTGGCAAACAAATTGAGTGATGCAGCATGGGTTGACTCCAGTTTTTTTAGTGGGTTGTTGGAATCACCAACAGCCTGTAAACAAAATACAGTGCTTTATATGCTCAGTTTGTTTACACAATGATACTTCACTCAACATATGACAGGCATTGAAGCATATAAGCAGGCATCTTGGTCAGCTAACATGAGGTGGGTAACCCTGAAGAAAACTAAGCAAGCTATGCAAAGCTTTCATTCTACACCAAACGTCACCATTATGATGTCATATCACGCATTGTGACGCAAAAGATAAGACGTCACAATCAAATAAGGAAAAGCACCTAAATTCCAAGGTCTCTGTTGTTCCCAAAACTTAAAATACATTCTCTTTGTAGACTTCCATCATGTTTTCACACATCCTTTGAATATCATAGTACCTGCAACTTTGCATTTTGTAACCTATAATTGTAGATACAATTATTTTAGAATGCCTGCCTATTCTATGGATATAAGCTTCCGTGTTGATGCGGCCGTCAAAATGGCCGTTTCAATCAGAGTAAATTTATTGTCATTGAACAAACTCTGATTGACCAAGCAGAATTGAGTAATTTCCAAATTCATGGTAGAATACAGCATGAACATGGCCTACCCGAGTCTGTGAATCTCTCTGTGTCTCTCCTCTCTCCTTGTTTTGGTGTCCTACACTTTCCATGACTCTCTCCTGTTCCATGTGGGCTTGCTTGGCCTTCTGCTTCTTGTCATCATCCTCATACAGAACGCTGAAGATGGAACTAAATGCTGGCTTTACACTTGACTTATTGCCAATCATAAAAGACTTCATGCCTCGTTTCTGAGGAACACTATCACTTGTGATCTGTTTGCTCACTGACTCTGAAATAATAAGTGAGGAAGGAGTTTCATGAATATTGTTAAAAAAAACAAGGTACTTATCAATATGAGTTCAGGATGAATGAATCATGACATCCCACCTTTACTTTCAATAGCTTTAACTGGTTCCGGGTCTGCTGAGGGCTGTTCTGTGTTGACTGCATGGGCACCAGAGAACTCCAGGAAGTTGAACACAGAGTACTTGTCTCTCTTCACACTTGTGAGGCCTGTGATTGTTGACCTGCCAGTGACAAGCAGAACCTAAGTCACTTGATCTTACTATGTACATCTCAACATGATTGCAGAGGCTTCAATGTCTTTTGCTGATATTTGTTGGGCTTAAAAAACAAAGAATTGGTTCTATGGTAATGGTTTTTGAAAATATAGTGCAGGCGAGCGGGGTCTTTTTTCTTTTTTTTCCATCTAGGATGTAACCAAATAAACAGTTGTGTATCATCCATTGTTATGAAACATAAGAACTACATACCCTGGATATGGGTAAGGGACATTGAATCGTTGACAGAGAAGTTTGTCTGGGTGCCACTCCAATTGCTCCCGTGTCAGTTGCCCAAACATCTTCATTTCCACAGCCTTGGCCTGGTCACTCTGTTCCACCTGAAGGGGACAACAAACTCATCAAACAGAATGGCAGGGTATGAAACATACAGGATATGTAACACAGGGTATGATGGGGTATGTAACATGCAGGGTTGTAGCAGTATCACTCGGGGTACATGTGGTTTTATGCATTCCATGTTAGGTTTTAGACCACTCACCAGAGCCGAAGGCTTATGAACGATTTGAACCATGCAAGTTAACATCATGTGTCGCAACCTCCAGTGTTTACAAGGTTTTAACTTGCGCGGTTCAGTGTTCATATATCCCCCGCCCCTGTTGCAGAATTTATGACATAAATATATCTCAACAAACCCTAACCTTTTTTAACCGAGGTGGAACTTGTCATGGAAATTGTAAAAAAAAGAAGAGTTTGGAACCTAAGTCCATCTTGTTGCCATGGAAACGTAAAAAATAAAAATTTCTTAAATTTCTAAATAGCAAAAGGCACCAGTTCAGCATGTACCTGACAGACCTGCAAAGTTTGATGAAAAAATATTTAATGGTTTCTGAGTAATGCTCCGGAAACGAAACGTGACGGACGGATGGACGGAGCCCGTTTCTTTATCCCCTGACAACTTTGTTTGGCGGGGGATAAAAAATCATCCCACCACTAATACACATATACTTCCAGGAATGCCGACTTTCTCCATTGTGTCTGCATTCTACATCTGTTCTGAACTGTTCTATCAGTTGTATACTGTTGATGCCTTACGTTGATCAGAAAATGTTTCCTCTCGTGTATGTATGCCTTATTTGCTGACAAGAAGCAAGCCAATTAACAGAGATTCTTCAACATGCAGCAGAACTGTACCATCATCTTAGGTCAATCCAGATCATCTAACTTTGAAAGTGCCTCCCAACAAGCTGCCAATAAACAGCTTGCACCATCCTCCTCAGCTATACAGAATATTGAAATTATTTTTAATGTAGTTGCGTGTCTGAAATGTATGTTCATATAAAAAAAAGGAAACAACTTGATACAGTCTTGTCATTCTGTTGTCAGCAATAGGTGCTGGCATAGAGGAGACCCCAACCTGTGCAACTGGTCAAACCAGAAGCAGTATATCTATCAATGATGATGGCTGACAAACCTGAGGGTCGGCTGGCATCTCAGGCGTGTCCAGGTCATCAGTATACTTGGCTGAGGTGAAGCGCGATGCCATCATGGTGGAGAGGGGCTTGTACAATTTGGCAGCCCTGGCAAACTCCTCCTTCTCTCTCTCCTTCTCCCACTCTGTCATGCTGCCCTCCACAACCTCCTCATACAGGTCTAGTCAGAACAAGATAATGTTACATTATAACAGAAAGGGTAAGTGTTTCATCTAACTTATAAACCAAAAAAGGAAACTTATAACATGTAGAAGAAATAATTTGACATTCTGCTCACTTAAGACACCCAATTTCTGGTGGTTGTCATTGCATCCATTTCAATGTATCAAAAACAAACAATGTTTTGTAAAGGATGATTTTATGAGCCACCTGCAAGAATTTTAACATACAGTGTCCAACATCTTCATGGATTAAGACCATAGGGTCAAATCTGTGATCAATTATGATCTCGGAGGTGTCCATTTGAAAATTACAAATAAAACCCCTACGTTTTCATGACCAGAGATGTATAAAAAATGTTGTGCATATAATGATGTGCCAGACTGTTTTGGGGAAGACAAGGTCGTCATGAATATATATATATGGGCAAAGGATAGAAGATTCCCATGCCAAAAGCTCATACTGTCTATGGCAGGGTGAGCTAAAACTCCAAACAAATAGGCCTCTCTTGCCATTTTTATAAAAGTAATAGCTTCAACATTTTTTTTTTTAACATTGTACATTTTGTAAGTGAAAACATCATCCCCCACAACATGATAGTACCTTTATTTCCTTGTCTGAAGTTGCTGAGGTACTTGTCATACCTCCTCTGTTTGTCCTGGTCCCTAGCAAATGGCTGGAAAGTGGGATTTCCCTTATACATTGTCTGTGTCGGCCCTGTAGCTACTCCTACAGCTGTGGTGGGGGTGTGGCCAGGGGTCTCACCAGGGCTGGTCTCAAGGTGTTCCCTGGACGTCTGCTGTGAAGAGTGGGGTCCAGGCAGAGGTGGGTCCTTGGCCCTCTCCAGCTTCTTCTGATCATCTTTTGGTATCAAATCAAATACTGATTCTGGAGAAAAAATGTTACACCTATATTAGCAATATTGGCTCCTGTAGATTTGAGTGAGTAATTTGGTGACATCATATTAGTGATTCAAATCTCATTATTCAGTAATTATCACATTGCATAATATAATCTGTAAACAAATCAAGAGAATAATGTGCACATAGAAATTATCTCTCATACAACTGCACTTTTTTACAACTGATTTTACTGTCAACAGCCTGCATGAATTGTACAACTGACACAGCACTTACGAAATATAGGTGTCTCTCCTAAGACAAGCCCTCGACTGATGGCATTGTGTTTGTCTGTGCTGCCTGAGGCAAAGGATGAGCCACGTGGCTTAAGGAACGTATGTACAAGGCGGAATCCAGGAGGCAGAGGCGGGTGCCTAAAAACCTTCTTTGGCTTCAGAGATTTGGAGGATATCCTAAACCCTTCAAGGAGCTTCCCAATATATCCAATGGGAATGTGTTGCTTTCCTGATGTAGAAAACAAAGAGAACACATAAGTTATCACGTATGTGTGTTTAGGGATGGTAAATATCCTATATTATGATTAAATGTTTTATTTAGTGACTAGTAAGTCTTGGCAAGCTAATACATAAATACATAGTGCTTATTCATAATACAGGTTCCCTGTCTGGTATGTCAAGATTACGAAAAGCAGTCAGATATCCCACATACAGATAAAATGAAACAGGGTAAAATTTGAGACATATTTTGGCCAAACCCCGTTGTCCATAATTTGGAAAGGAGGCCTTCAAAAACAGATATGTGAACTGATATCCTGACTGTCCCCACTACATTTCTGAGCAATATATATCTCCAAAGTTGCCTACACTTGTGAAAGGCCTCAGCTATGCCACTTTTAGACGATATTTGGTATGTTAGACTCTTATTTTTAAGATGGACAGCAATTATCCTAGTAATTTGTCCAGGTTCCCGATTCTGACTCCAAGGCAATGCTATATTTGCTTGTAAACACGGAAAGTAGTACTTACCTGACCTTTAATATTTGCATATTTATCTGTAAATAACCCCAACAAATTTTTATACATTCGCTTTACCTATCCATTACATGATAAATCATATTCAGTTTATTCTCCAGTTTACTTATGAAATCAAGGTAAAATCATCTTGAAAGTAGGTCAAATTATTGTTAACCTTTCTCACAATGTCCTGGGGCAGTCCAGCCAAACTTATCATCTTTCTCCTCGGAACCCATAGTCATATCATAGTCAGACATGTGGTCAGTTGCATAGATATCTTCATCATCATCTTCCAGAGCACCAACTCCAAATGCCTGAATTTGACAAAAAACATTGAACAATAGTTTATCATTGTTATTAATTCTAAGAATACTACCTCTATTACATATCTGCCATAAATCCTGTATTTTGGCTTCAATCACACTTTTTAATTTTTTTTATAGATTTTCACAGACGTCCTCTGCACTGTCAATTACACACACAACTAGTTGTCGCCAAGTAGTCTCGTAACTACCCAAGCCACGACATCATAATGGCGACAACCTCACATTTTTCCCTCATCTCCTACTAGAGGTAGATGAATTGGGGAGAATTACGTCACTTCCGGTTCTGACGTCACTTCCAGTGTGTCACTTCCCCTTATGAACTATCTCTAGGTCTATTTCTACCCCAAAGACATAATTTCCTGGATAGAAGGACTCTGTTCGGCTATTTCCTGTGCTGACGTCACTTCCGGTTAATCTATCACTTTTGGTAATGACGTCACTTCCGGTTTAATGGTGACAGTTGACATTTAAGGTGCTTCTAATCCATCCTACACCCAATAGGCAGAATAATCAATGGTTTGCTCACCCTCTGATGCTGCTGGTGTTGGATCCTCGCCCCTTTTCCGATAGCGGGCGATAGTTTGTGTCGCAACAACCGGACCAAGGGAATATATGCCCTCTAAGTCCGAGTGAATGTCACGTAAGTAAAAGCTGGTGAAGGTGTTTTGTGAGGCCTATTGACAAATTGACAGCTAGAAACTACTTGTTCTACTGAGACTGTAGTCCATGAAGCGAGAGTCTTGGCTAGGTCTCTGATTTCTTGAGCTGAGCAGGATCCGAGACGTTGCATGGAATTCTGAGCCTGTGTGTAACTTTGCGCAACTGTGGATTTCATCCATCCTGCTGAAGTAGCCTTTATGATATCCTTGTTTGAGTTGGTCTAAAAGGATAGGAAGAGTCTGCTCCAATGGCATCTATGTGGTTCTGTAGCTGAGAGATAGAACTTGAGAGCTCTGATGGGACATAAGAGTCTGTCTGGGTGATCCACTGTTGGTCCTAATGCAGGAATTGTATAGTGTCTATGACCAAACGGTCCCATTGTGGTGGATTGATGCTTGGATACAAAGTCTGGGAGTGATCTTAGAGTTACTGTGATCCATTATTGATCATGGGTAAGGCTAAAATAGTCTACGGCATGTAATTCTGAAACTCTTGATGCTGTTGCCGTGGCTTGATCTGATCTGGGCTAAGAGTTGTTGTCGTTGTAGCCTCAGTAATTGTGTAGAAGTCCAGACTTGGGAAGAGAACAAGTTTTCCTGAATCCTGAATATCAAGTCAAGGAGGCTATGGATGAGTCTGACTTGACCGGTCCTAATAGTCATGGGTTGTAAAGGTGGTATGATGTGTCTGATTCCAGCGACAAAACAATTTATATATGCTCCGATATCTATAGAGTATCTGGAGACAGATGTCAGATCCTTGAAACATGATGCTGGTAAAGTAACGCACCAACTTGTAGAAATCCTCATCCAAACTTGGAAATTCCGCATCGTGTTCCTGTATAACTCTGTTTCATAGGTGGTACAGCAAGTCGTTCATAATGCTTGAGCCTGTGAATGTTGTCTGTCAACTGATCAACAACCTTGCCAGCGTAACTGGGCCAAGGTAATGTCTGAGGAATATGTTGAGATGGTGTAGGAGCATGACATCCCGTGTATTCAGGCATCTGGGATGGTGAATCCTCTGTCACATATGGCTGAAGCAGAGGCACAAGGTGATAGTTCATCAATCAGTTCCACAAAAGTATAGCCTTCGGTGTAATCTCGTTGGGGTGACTCCGCCTCCAATTGGCCTTGGGCACCTCCCATGGGGGGTGGATAATTGTAGAACTCAGAGTCTACCCCGTAGGGTTCGTCATCCTCCGGTGACCATGATTCCAGTATAATCTGTCTCCTTGGGCTTGTGGTCCGTTGGTAACGGTATCCAAGCGGTTACTGTCCTCTCGGCTGGCTGGCCAGTTGGCTGGACAGCTGGCTGGGTAATCCCGTGGAGTCTGTGCGGCTGGCTTGGGACCCGTTGGCTGATGAAGGTCATATGGTAAGCCGTGGTCTGTAGGCTGGCCCATGCAGTCTGTGAGGTGGTCGTACGGTTTATTTGCGGCCGGCTGGCTAGATTGCCATTGAGAGCAGGCCCATGGGCCATACAGTGTCTGGCTGGTATGGCTGGAAGGCTTGGTTGCCATGGACGGCCTGTCCATGGATACTGTGTGGCTCCCGTTTGGTATTGTCTAATGGGTGGATAAAGCCTGCTGGCTCATATCCGGCTAGTCTGCTGCTGGCTGGCTAGATGACTGGTCTATAGGCTGGCTGTGCGGCTCAGTTTGTTGATGTTGTGTAGATGGGCCTACGGCCATGGACGAAGATCTTATAGTCTTTGCCAGAGCTATCTCCTTGATGATATTGCCCATATCTGACAGCTTAGTCTCCAGCCTGTCCTTTACCATCTTCTGCTGTTCTTTAACAGTTAGTGGATAAGACTCATGGTGAGTGCAGGAGATGGTGGGCTGGCTGGAGAGGGTGGAGGAGTGGAAATTTATTTCTCAGTAAGGATGTTGTTCACTTTCTTCTTGGCAGCCTCGCGCCTCTTGGCCTTTGTCACGACCTCTGACATCTTGGAGAAGATCTTCTCGGATGTGTTACTGCATTGCACACATCTCTTCTCCATGCTGCAGGTCTTTTCTCTGCACTTTGCAGTTTTCATGAGGATCTCCCGTGACCATGAACCGGCCACACTTCTTGCACCCGGGGGTTTGAATGTAGACTGCATGACGACCTCACAACAACACCAAACATGAGCTATACTTAGGTGTGTGTTTGTCTCCACAGCAGCACTATTAATTTATACTTATATGTCTGTTATTATAGAAAACTTATTAGAATAATATTAGAATAATGTGACTTACTACCAAGTGCTAGATTGTTACTACTATTATAGTAGGTGTTAACGCTAGCACACACAGGAAAAAAGTGAGGTTGCCACCATTATGACATCATGGCTTGGGTAGTTACGAGACTACTTGGCGACAACTAGTTGTGTGTGTAATTGACAGTGAAGAGGACTACAGTTTAAAAAAATCTGAAAACTTTAGTTAGTGTGATTGAAGCCAAAATATAGGATTTTTTTTCTTATCAGGAGAAAGCTCCATAAATCTGGGTGGGTGCTTAGAGTAAGTGCAAGTTCATATCACAACAAGGTTGAAGGATTGAGTGTTTTTATTACTCAAATAAAGGACTATGAAGCGCAAGGATGAGGTTAAAAATGTTTGGGTGTACACAAGACATTCTGTGGTGATCATAATCCCTAAGGCCAAAGATTTGATTATTTCTCACTTTTTAATTATTTTTTTAGTAAAATGTAAATATTTTTAACATTTGTGTACTTATCTTGCATTACTCCTTAAGGCATCTACTGCTTAAGTTATGACAGAAACGAAGCTGTGAAACAGCTGCCAAGTGACCAAAATGAAATGATGATGGCACAGGGTTGTCATATTACACACACATAATTTCATCTGAATCTGTGCTGCTGAGGCTAGTGCCAAGAGGAAGATCGTCTTCTTGGTGAGGTTAAAAAAGGAAGTTACGTGAAGGCTTGAAGTTCCACATTCAAATCCCAAGCGGCAGGTTGAAAGTTAGCCTTCTGATCCTCAAGCCTGAATGAGCGTAGGAGGGCCTGTAGTCCCAGAACTTTGGTCATCTTACAATCCTCCGGAATTGCCAACACTGAATTAAGGGCCCGCAAGTACAGGTAAGTCGTAATGGTGCTGTCCTTCAAGTGTTGTTTGGTGAGCAAATGTAGGAGGTACTCGGTAGTAGTAGTTTTTATGCATGGCAAAGAGGTCAATATTGGCTTGACTCTCCATGGCAGCCACCCTGTATGGTCTCAATGTTGCCCAAGCCAGAATGTTCCGACACCTGGGGATGTACTGGACTAGAAATCATAGACCCAGACAATCAACCAGATGAAAGAACCTAATGTCTGTTGAAGCAGGAAGTGAGAGTGTGTCATCCCTTGGGTTGTGCAGGAAACAAACCAACATGCTGTTGTCAGTGGAGATACAAATGTGAAATTGCTTAAATGGGTGCGATGTGCCATGTGTGCTGTGTGTCGGACTACAGCCCTGATCCTGCCTGGTCCTGTAGATGTGCACCCAAACCCTATAGAGAGGCGTCTACATACAGGCGTAGCATTGGAGCCAAATCTGTTAAGGAGACCCTCCTAAGACGTTCGACCATATCGTCCAACAACTGAGATGCGTCCAGAGGTGAGACAGTAGAGTGATGTCTACGTAGGGGTGCTGATGTCTGATGTATTGGGCGTAGGTGCAGATGACCTCAGCTTGTCAATCCTGGGCTGATGTGAGCAAGCCCAGCAACACTTGTCAAAGGGCAGGTGACAGATGGCGCAGTATCTTGAGCCATCTGTCCCATGGCACTGTCAGTTGGTCCCGGTCTGTCTAGAACACGACCCCTATAAACTGAAGTCTGGTAAAGTCCCGATGGAGAGACAGTGTCTTTGTTTGACTCGAACCGATTAAAGATGCTTTTAATATATTTGATAAGAAGATTGTACCAATAGTAACATATGGAGCAGAAATCTGGGGTTTTGAGAAAAGAGAAAATATCGAAATTGTACACGGAGAGTTTTGCAAATTTTTGTTACATACAGGGTACAGAACAGCCAATGCAGTAGCCTATGGAGAATGTTGTAGAGTTCCACTGCATACTATTTATCATATTAAATGTTTTAAGTACTGGCTCAAAAGATTACAAATTCACACAAGTAGGTCCATCCATTACAGTGTTATAAAAGGCCAACAGAAAACTCCCTCATTGGGCAACTTATTGCAACATTTACTATTTTGTTATGGTTTTGGCTTCTTCTGGTTTGCACAAGATGTGGGTGATACCAATCTATTTGTTTATAAATTTAGTGAAAGAGTTTATGACTGTACAGTTCAAGATTGGCATGCATCACTAGATACCACATCACTTGAATTTTTTAAGTCGCATAGGTTGAATTTAACTTGTGAACATTGTCTTTTAAATACTAATATTTGTGAGTATAAACGACTGCTAACTAAATTTTGAAGTGGTCATAACACCCTTGGTATCCAGTTGGTTTATGTGATGACCAAAATGCTTTGTGCATGCATTGTAATGTAATTGAAGACGAAATACATGTTATATACCACTGTGTGCTCTACGATAGTGAGCGGAAATATTTAATTCCCAAAACTGTAACTGATAACTATTATTCATTACAAAGAATATGTCAGTCAACAAATGTTAATGTCATGTTAAACTTGGTTCCTGAATAGTATCTTCACAGGGAGATAAGGCACCTGTTTATCTTCCTTAAGAAATAACTCTCTGTAAAATGGTACTTGTAAACCTTTTCATACTATGGGTCTGATGGCCTTCATGCAAATAAAACTGTCTCTCTGTCTGTCTGTCTGTCTGTCTGTCTGTTAATAGCCACTGTGCCACTGAAATACCAAGGGTCCCCATTGAACCGGAACCTGGGGAACCTGTGGTTGTTGGGATGGATTGGTACATGCAGGTAGGCATCCTGCTGGTCAAGACTGATCAGGGAATCGTGAGCATTGATGCTAATCTTGAGCAGTCTCAAAGTTGTGAGGTGAAAGTATGGTGGATGCTCTAAGTAGCACTCGTTGAACACGGAGAGATTGTCTTTCTTTGGTACCAGGAAGATGGGAGAGTAGAAGCCCGGTGTTAACGGTGGGGTGTATACAGTCTCTATGGCTTTTTCAACAGGATACCCATGTTGGACCCCAGTGGCTGATGTTGCTTTCTGGGGTTGAGCCATGTTCAGCGGAGGGTCCACGGCCAGGTCTAGGCAATACCCGTAGCATAGTACATTTAGTATGAATGGGTCTGCCAAACCGATCCAGTTCTGTCAGAAGAGGCCCAGCCTACTACCTACAGGGGTGTCAAAGATTGGGACAACTAGGGGTGGGAGCTGCCAGTCGTGATTGTCTAGGGTTCATTGCTTTCCCCACTTATCCCCATTCCTGCCCTGGAATTTGCCACTGTGGGACCAATAAGAGCCCTGAGCTCTGTGTCGTCCTCTGCCACGAAAAGAGTGCTGCTCATGCTTCTGCTCTTTGAGGGAACGTCTTGGACGATAATTTCCTGATTTGGTTGTGAGAGGATGTGAAAGGCTTCGAGTGCTGTCTCGTCTCATGTGTAACTTGAGACCTTGGTGTGGGTTTGGATGACGTTTTGTAGAATTTTCCTATTCGGAATATTCTATAAGTAATACGTTACCACTGTTATACCGAGGCTGTTGTCCCCCACAACTGCTCTTATAGCGAAATCTTCGACAGAGATCTCAATCACCTCATGCAGCACGTGTGTAGCCACCTAGCTGCCATGTGACACCCTTCACTCTTGTCTCTTACGAGAGCAAGTGCTCGGGGGACGGACGGGCGGGCAGCAGCCCAGTGGTAACATATTACTTATAGAATATTCCGAATAGGAAAATTCTACAAATTACATTAAGTAATACATTACCACTGTTATACCGAGGCTGACTACCACAGGTAGGCGGTGGGGAGCACCTACAACCCGAAACCTGACTCCTCGTGTTTCTTCCGACCAGCGGAAGTATACAACAAGGCGGAAGCACTCGATGCGCCTGCTCCCAGCTTGGCGTTACCATATAGGGATACCAAAGCACTGTCAAGCGCATACCGTAAGGCCATCGTTATTGCCAAACGATTGGTGACTCCAAACGGCCCCACTGGATAGGTATTTCATCAGGTGAAACAGTCGAAAAGAAGGAAATTAATTTCATTCAGACTGTATATCCCAAAATCAAGCCTACTTAACGTATGTAATAGGCGCGTGACCTAAATTCAATATTTGAAAGCATGCATTACAAGGTTGCAATACAGGACAGACAATTAAGTACATAATTGTCAATTCAAAATAAAGAAACACACAGAAAGCCACACTCACCTGTGGATGAGCGCGCTGGCTTGTGGGACCCCCACTCCTGTACCCACGGCTGTGGGAACGTTGGAGTAGACCCAGATTGACCACCGTGCAAGGTCTGAAGTCTGAGGAGTTCGGAATTGCGCCGGGCACACCCCTTAGATGACCGCTTGTGCCGCGATCAGCGGCCCAAGACGGTGCACACCCTCCACGTCTTCATCAGAGACCTTTCGTCGTTGTCGGCACACGAACCTTGCAAGTGAGAGTCATTTGGAGGAGCCCTTACCGTCCCGAGACGGCTTAGGCTTCCCCCAGTGTCCCTTCTTCCCCTGAAAGGGCAGCATGTTGCCCTTACCGGGGACCTCAGGGCAGGACCACTTCCTGGAGGAAGAAGACACCGACCCCTTGGACCCCTGAGGGGCACTCTGTTTAGGGGCACCACCCAGGTGTCTGTGCAGAGACCCAACCAGATCCAACGCGAAGCCGCGGCAGACGAAGCAGACTGCTGTTCTTTTAGAACACTAGGGATCCGATTATTAAACAGGGTCTGCGCAGACCAAGGCTGCGAAAGTAACACCTCTTGGTTGGCAGCGTCCAACCCAGAGGCGGCAAGCATACGCTTGCCGCCTCAAGAAATGGCAAATGTTATATCATTAAATTATGAAGAGGCCAACTATGGTTCACGTTTGAATTTGCAATCACAATTAGATAAAGCCATGTAGCATAGCTGGTGTTGATCTCCATGATAGCTGCCCTGAGGTGATTCCTTATGCGGTCTATTTGTCTCTGCTGGTAGTCTGGCACTGTAACTGTAAATGGTCTAGACGATTAGTGTTGGTCTCACTAACATCCTGTTCCATGGCCCGGGATGAGGAGGCCAGAGCAAACATGGGCTTAAGTGAGTGCCTGACATCAGTCTTGATGAAGGCGAACTGAGTATCTGGAATCATAAGGTGAGGTGAAAATTGGGTTTAACGTCGCATCCAAGATTATTGCACTTATATAGTGGCGTGCATGCACCTGTGTGTGTGTGGCTGCTTGTACTAGTCCGGACTGATGCCAATTTATAGTGCTAGCCCACTGAGATACCATGCCGCAGTTTAACATGAATACCCCACTCAGACACAGTATACTGAATCCGAGCCGACCAGTCCTTGTTTTAGCCCCTTAATGCCGAGCGCCAGACAGGGTAACAACAAGTACCATCTTTTATCGTCATTTGGTAAGACGCGGCCGGGGATCGAACCCCGGACCTTCCGCTCTCCTGGCGGACGCTCTACCACTAGACCACGGTGGAATCTTAAGAGTGGTCGACTTGGACGTCTAGGTCATCCTCTGGAGGTTCTCGTCCTAGGCGTGCACTTGGTCACCTACTTCAAAGGTGTGGATAGGAAAGCCATCCTTACTAAACCTGGAGCCTTGAACGCTGGGATGTGGGTTATTCTGGAGAAAACCTTGTCAAACACCCTGAGCATATTCCGTAACATAGGATCAGGTGGTATGGATGTAGGATGGGACCAAATGGTGTCCTCTTTGTTGTCTTCGGGGCCGGTGCTATCACAATCAACCGGTCAGCCATCTACTCTGGCAGTTGTCAACAGTTGTTGTGCCTTAAAGGTAGAGACAGGTGTTGAACTTACAACTGTGCCCAGCGCCCAGGTGCAAAGGAATGTTGACCGTCCGCGGAACGCCTGGTAGAGCCCAACCAAAAGAAGAGGGCTGATTCGTGATGACCGGGGACTGTTAGAAGAATCCTGTGAGTCAGACATCCTTCTAGTTTGCTGTAGGGAATGCTGACCAATACACTTATGTGATACCTGTCTGTATCTCGTAAAGCTTGACGGGGAGAGAGGGGAGCAAATGTTACATTTTAAATCTCGTGTACAAACTTGAGTACAATAAAGACAACGTAGGTTTGGATCTTTAGCAGTCTTTTTACCATGGCAATTTATACAATGTGCATGCATAATTTACACATGAAAGGTTGAGGTTGTATTGGAAAATGAGAACTGAGAAATAAACTAAAGTGTAAATCGGAAGTACAGAATTTATTGTATCAAATAATAAGCATGAAACACTTGCTAAGCCAACAACAGCTAAAGGTTATTATTATATAATTAACTACCTAGCAAGCAAATGAAAGAGAAACAGCTGCCACGCAAGAAAGACCGAGACATGTTAACAAATTCAAGTTTGCGTATTAGAACAACAAACATGCAAAGAAAAAAAGACAAGAGTCTCTTCACTTACAATAATTACATATCATTACACAAATACAAGCATAATAAATATATCAATGTATACTCCACCTGCCGCACAACAAATTTAGGTGGAAGAGCGCAAACACATGTTAAAGCCATTAGTTGGAGACCAAAAGTAGACAAAAACCTGTCTGTCCGGTGACAAGTAGGAAAATGAAGATCCTGTGATGTAATCACTTCCGTTTTGTCACGTGGCAGCTGTGTAAGGGTCAGGCTTGAGGCTTGATTGGAACAGCTTTGTTTCTGTCATAAAGTAAGTTGTAGATGCATTGAGGAGTAATGGAGGATAGGTTAAAAAATAGAAAAATTGTGTAACCATGTTGCTTCACACCAGCTTAGCTAAAAATTGGCCTAACATGAAATAGAAACACTATTAAGAAGACAAATGAAAATCAATATAGCAGAAAAGATAGATACATTACACACTTACATGACCTTGAATTCCTCTGCGTCCTTTGCCCTTCACGGGAGGAGGGGAAAACAGGTTTATATGACCTGAAGGTAGGGCATTTCTTGGGTTCAGACCACTGTATCCCAAACCATGAACATTGTCTTTTGCCTTCAAGGACACAGGGTTCCTGTCCTTCGGGGCAAATGTGATGTTCTGTAATGCCTCATCATCTGATTCCTAATGAAACATTTAAAAAGAACAAACAATTATGTTCCTGTCCTTTTAAAATAAACACAACTATTGAAGGGTCACCATTAGTCACCATTACTGATAGAAAGGAAGCCATCTTCTTCAAAACTAGAACCCCAAAAAACATCCCAGTTGTCTACGACTACATGTTGATGAATGTTGTAAAAATTATCAAAAACAAGCAAAACCAGGCGACATGGAGCACAGGTTCACCCCATACATCACATTGATACCTACCATCTGCTCCTACCAGTCTAACTCCCGTCCACACTAACAACTCCCATCCACACTAACAGAACCTAGTCTACCTTACCACCACCCCATACATCACATTGATACCTACCATCTGCTCCTCCCAGTCAAACTGCCATCCACACTAACAACTCCCGTCCACACTAACAGAACCTAGTCTACCTTACCACCACCCCATACATCACATTGATACCTACCATCTGCTCCTCCCAGTCTAACTCCCATCCACACTAACAGAACCTAGTCTACCTTACCACCACCCCATACATCACATTGATACCTACCATCTGCTCCTCCAAGTCAAACTCGCATCCACACTAACAACTCCCATCCACACTAACAGAACCTAGTCTACCTTACCACCACCCCATACATCACATTGATACCTACCATCTGCTCCTCCCAGTCAAAGTCCCATCCACACTAACAACTCCCATCCACACTAACAGGACCTAGTCTACCTTACCACCACCCCATACATCACATTGATACCTACCATCTGCTCCTCCCAGTCAAACTCCCATCCACACTAACAGAACCTAGTCTACCTTACCACCACCCCATACATCACATTGATACCTACCATCTGCTCTTCCTAGTCAAACTCCCATCCACACTAACAACTACCATCCACACTAACAGAACCTAGTCTACCTTACCACCACCCCATACATCACATTGATACCTACCATCTGCTCCTCCCAGTCAAACTCCCATCCACACTAACAACTCCCATCCACACTAACAGAACCTAGTCTACCTTACCGCCACCCCATACATCACATTGATACCTACCATCTGCTCCTCCCAGTCAAACTCCCATCCACACTAACAACTCCCATCCACACTAACAGAACCTAGTATACCTTACCACCACTCCATACATCACATTGATACCTACCATCTGCTCCTCCCAGTCTAACTCCCATCCACACTAACAGAACCTAGTCTACCTTACCACCACCCCATACATCACATTGATACCTACCATCTGCTCCTCCCAGTCAAACTCCCATCCACACTAACAACTCCCATCCACACTAACAGAACCTAGTCTACCTTACCACCACCCCATACATCACATTGATACCTACCATCTGCTCCTCCCAGTCTAACTCCCATCCACACTAACAGAACCTAGTCTACCTTACCACCACCCCATACATCGCATTGATACCTACCATCTGCTCCTCCCAGTCAAACTCCCATCCACACTAACAACTCCCATCCACACTAACAGAACCTAGTCTACCTTACCACCACCCCATACATCACATTGATACCTACCATCTGCTCCTCCCAGTCTAACTCCCGTCCACACTAACAACTCCCATCCACACTAACAGAACCTAGTCTACCTTACCACCACCCCATACATCACATTGATACCTACCATCTGCTCCTCCCAGTCAAACTCCCATCCACACTAACAACTCCCATCCACACTAACAGAACCTAGTCTACCTTACCACCACCCCATACATCACATTGATACCTACCATCTGCTCCTCCCAGTCTAACTCCCATCCACACTAACAGAACCTAGTCTACCTTACCACCACCCCATACATCACATTGATACCTACCATCTGCTCCTCCCAGTCTAACTCCCATCCACACTAACAACTCCCATCCACACTAACAGAACCTAGTCTACCTTACCACCACCCCATACATCACATTGATACCTACCATCTGCTCCTCCCACTCTAACTCCCGTCCACACTAACAGAACCTAGTCTACCTTACCACCACCCCATACATCACATTGATACCTACCATCTGTTCCTCCCAGTCTAACTCATCCACACTAACAGAACCTAGTCTACCTTACCACCACCCCATACATCACATTGATACCTACCATCTGCTCCTCCCAGTCTAACTCCCGTCCACACTAACAACTCCCATCCACACTAACAGAACCTAGTCTACCTTACCACCACCCCATACATCACATTGATACCTACCATCTGCTCCTCCCAGTCTAACTCCCGTCCACACTAACAACTCCCATCCACACTAACAGAACCTAGTCTACCTTACCACCACCCCATACATCACATTGATACCTACCATCTGCTCCTCCCAGTCTAACTCCCGTCCACACTAACAACTCCCATCCACACTAACAGAACCTAGTCTACCTTACCACCACCCCATACATCACATTGATACCTACCATCTGCTCCTCCCAGTCAAACTCCCATCCACACTAACAACTCCCATCCACACTAACTGAACCTAGTCTAACCTTACCACCATCCCATACATCCCATTGATACCTACCATCTGCTCCTCCCAGTCTAACTCCCATCCACACTAACAACTCCCATCCACGCTAACAGAACCTAGTCTACCTTACCACCACCCCATACATCACATTGATACCTACCATCTGCTCCTCCCAGTCTAACTCCCATCCACACTAACAACTCCCATCCACACTAACAGAACCTAGTCTACCTTACCACCACCCCATACATCACATTGATACCTACCATCTGCTCCTCCCAGTCTAACTCCCATCCACACTAACAGAACCTAGTCTGCCTTACCACCACCCCATACATCACATTGATACCTACCATCTGTTCCTCCCAGTCTAACTCCTCCACACTAACAGAACCTAGTCTACCTTACCACCACCCCATACATCACATTGATACCTACCATCTGCTCCTCCCAGTCTAACTCCCGTCCACACTAACAACTCCCATCCACACTAACAGAACCTAGTCTACCTTACCACCACCCCATACATCACATTGATACCTACCATCTGCTCCTCCCAGTCAAACTCCCATCCACACTAACAACTCCCATCCACACTAACAGAACCTAGTCTACCTTACCACCACCCCATACATCACATTGATACCTACCATCTGCTCCTCCCAGTCAAACTCCCATCCACACTAACAACTCCCATCCACACTAACAGAACCTAGTCTACCTTACCACCACCCCATACATCACATTGATACCTACCATCTGCTCCTCCCAGTCAAACTCCCATCCACACTAACAACTCCCATCCACACTAACAGAACCTAGTCTACCTTACCACCACCCCATACATCACATTGATACCTACCATCTGCTCCTCCCAGTCTAACTCCCATCCACACTAACAGAACCTAGTCTACCTTACCACCACCCCATACATCACATTGATACCTACCATCTGCTCCTCCCAGTCTAACTCCTCCACACTAACAGAACCTAGTCTACCTTACCACCACCCCATACATCACATTGATACCTACCATCTGCTCCTCCCAGTCTAACTCCTGTCCACACTAACAACTCCCATCCACACTAACAGAACCTAGTCTACCTTACCACCACCCCATACATCACATTGATACCTACCATCTGCTCCTCCCAGTCAAACTCCCATCCACACTAACAACTCCCATCCACACTAACAGAACCTAGTCTACCTTACCACCATCCCATACATCACATTGATACCTACCATCTGCTCCTCCCAGTCAAACTCCCATCCACACTAACAACTCCCATCCACACTAACAGAACCTAGTCTACCTTACCACCACCCCATACATCACATTGATACCTACCATCTGCTCCTCCCAGTCAAACTCCCATCCACACTAACAACTCCCATCCACACTAACAGAACCTAGTCTACCTTACCACCACCCCATACATCACATTGATACCTATCATCTGCTCCTCCCAGTCTAACTCCCATCCACACTAACAGAACCTAGTCTACCTTACCACCACCCCATACATCACATTGATACCTACCATCTGCTCCTCCCAGTCTAACTCCTCCACACTAACAGAACCTAGTCTACCTTACCACCACCCCATACATCACATTGATACCTACCATCTGCTCCTCCCAGTCAAACTCCCATCCACACTAACAGAACCTAGTCTACCTTACCACCACCCCATACATCACATTGATACCTACCATCTGCTCCTCCCAGTCTAACTCCCATCCACACTAACAGAACCTAGTCTACCTTACCACCACCCCATACATCACATTGATACCTATCATCTGCTCCTCCCAGTCAAACTCCCATCCACACTAACAGAACCTAGTCTACCTTACCACCACCCCATACATCACATTGATACCTACCATCTGCTCCTCCCAGTCAAACTGCCATCCACACTAACAACTCCCATCCACACTAACAGTACCTAGTCTACCTTACCACCACCCCATACATCACATTGATACCTACCATCTGCTCCTCCTAGTCAAACTCCCGTCCACACTAACAGAACCTAGTCTACCTTACCACCACCCCATACATCACATTGATACCTACCATCTGCTCCTCCCAGTCTAACTCCCGTCCACACTAACAGAACCTAGTCTACCTTACCACCACCCCATACATCACATTGATACCTACCATCTGCTCCTCCCAGTCAAACTCCCATCCACACTAACAACTCCCATCCACACTAACAGAACCTAGTCTACCTTACCACCACCCCATACATCACATTGATACCTACCATATGCTCCTCCCAGTCTAACTCCCATCCACACTAACAACTCCCATCCACACTAACTGAACCTAGTCTACCTTACCACCACCCCATACATCACATTGATACCTACCATCTGCTCCTCCCAGTCTAACTCCCATCCACACTAACAACTCCCATCCACACTAACAGAACCTAGTCTACCTTACCACCACCCCATACATCACATTGATACCTACCATCTGCTCCTC